ATGCACCACACTCCCAATAAACACAAATCGACCCAGTCCCCACATTATAACATGGGCATAGCTCAGGACATTATACATACTGTAATAATTCACTTTTTTGACGAAATAGTCTTGTCATTGTTGAAATATGCACAATTTTCCCAAGGCACTGTACTATGATCAAAGATTATTTTGCATAAAGGGGAAAACTGGGCTAAATTCCAAAATAAATTTCAGGAAAACTCAAAACTCAATTCCATTCTGGAGTTTTGGACCCATATGTGAGATGAGGAGCTTCATATGATAATTATTCAAGAGGCTCTCAGATAATCTGGCAAAGATAGCATGCATGCATGTAATTGTTTCACTTAAAAATTGACCCATGACTTGCAGAGACAAGCAAATTTTTTCTGGAGTTGCTGGCCACCCATGAAATTGGCTTCAAAATGTTATTCTCTCATTTCATTGTCAGCTCGTGGGTAATTATCAGAGGCTTTAAGATACACTTGTAGCAGATAATCCTGGTAGCCTAGCCATTTCTTCAGCATAAGAGGCAGTCAATTCATACACAAGCCATAAAAGGATTATCTGCTACAACTGTATCTTAAAGCCTCTGATAATTACCCACAAATGAATTAATCAAGAGTTGGTGATTATACAGAGTAGCTCTCATGTCTTTAAAACTCCTGTGAGTATTCCAGTCATTCTTTAGAAAAGCCCACATTCTGAAGGCTGTATTTAAACTTCCAAAATAAGCCACTCACACATCTAATAATAAAGGTGTTCTTTCTCCATCTGCTGATGCACCTCCATGCCTACAATTACGCTGGCATATTGGACATGTTTCTTTAATCTCCATCCACTTCATAATGCACCTAATTTAAACAGAAAAGTTGACCTTGTAGTTCCTAATCTTAAATGCTGATTTAGACAGTACGATTTTTACTTACAACTGTTGTGCCCAAATCGTGTTGTGTAAATTAATCCCATGACATCCGTACGACATGTGAGGATGTGGTAAGTGAAAATTGCGCACATGTGGATGGTCGAAAGTCATGACATATGCTAGTCCCACACAATAGTCATAAGCAAAAATCATACTGTCTAAATCAGCATTAAAAGTGCCCACAGAAAAATGCCACGATCCTGCAGTGCAGGCATTTTCTTTGGGCATGTGAATGTTTTTGCTTGCGAAAGAGCCATATTCAAACTCCAAAAGACAGGAGGAAATAGGGTGAGCCCAATGAAGTAGGGAAAAGGGAGAGAGGGGCAGCCTAGCACACACCTAGAGGGTTGCTATTTCTACTATCCAGAATCTTCCTCTATCTGAAAATAAAAAAACTAGCAGCTTTTGCTGGCCTAAAACAAGCCTAAACTGCAGGCTGAAATGCCACAATAATCACATTATTTCACTTATGACATGGAACAAAAAAGACCACCATCAACCATGTCAAAATACAGAGGTTCAATATGAGTGGTCATACCATACAGTGTTGCTCACCGATTTAACAGTTAGAACTACTGTGCCTTGATCCATCAGTGACTTAAAGACGGACAGGTTATACAACTAAAATTGTGCTTACTAAGAGGGTTCCTAGTCTATGAGCAGACTTTTTAGCATGACACTCTCACTTTTTTGCTGAGGTGCTATATAAATTTTTACAGCCATCTTTTGCTGCAGTTGCCATGGCCTCTCCGTTTTGGTCAGGATTGGCCCCTGAAAGCTGTAGAATACAAGCCCTTGGAATTATTTNGGGGCAGCCTAGCACACACCTAGGGGGTTGCTATTTCTACTATCACAAATCTTCCTCTATCTGAAAATAAATAAAAGGTGGCTACGGCAATATGAACATAAACTAGCAGCTTTTGCTGGCCTAAAACAAGCCTAAACTGCAGGCTGAAATGCCACAATAATCACATTATTTCACTTACGACATGGAACAAAAAAGACCACCATCAACCATGTCAAAATACAGAGGTTCAATATGAGTGGTCATACCATACGGTCTTGCTCACCGATTTAACAGTTAGAACTACTGTGCCTTGATCCATCAGTTACTTAAAGACGGACAGGTTATACAACTAAAATTGTGCTTACTAAGAGGGTAATACACTCTCACTTTTTTGCTGAGGTGCTATATAAATTTTTACAGCCATCTTTTGCTGCAGTTGCCATGGCCTCTCCGTTTTGGTCAGGATTGGCCCCTGAAAGCTGTAGAATACAAGCCCTTGGAATTATTTGGGAGGGGGCTGAATTGAATTGAATTGGGTGAGGATGATGGATTAAAATAATGTAAAAGCTATTGACCACTTTCTTCAAGAGGTCCAAGAGGTACTCATTGCTAAACTGTTGACAGCCTCCATTTCATCAACACACACAAAAAATGAGATAATTCACAAGCATGCAGCCCTAGCAAAAGGCAAGGAGGTGGGGAGTGAACTTCTATCTTATTTTTCTCCTAAGTTAAAAAATAAAAGAAATAAACATTTGCTTGACCTACTTGTGGTGATAAGCATGCCCACATCTACAAATACTAATTTCCTCCTTGTTCCTAAAATCATCCAAACAAATTGCACACGTCTAAAAGAAAGAAAAAAAGCTGTATTAATGAACTGAATAATGACAAAAAAGAAACAAGAAACCAAGAGGATACACTGGAATTCCAGAAACAACAAAAGTTTGTAAGTTATGTTACACAATATTAAATGTCAGCAAAACTTGTTCTTATTCTACTTACATCACTCTTCAGAGAAACTTTCTTCAACCATTTCTTCTTGTAATTTGTCTTCAACGAAATAAAATAGCAGAAATATTTGTTTAATAAAATGAAGTACATAACATACTTGAAGCATGACAAGTTTGTAAGCATTCCATAGCTTCCACAACAATAATGCTCATTGTATTTAAGGCATATTCAGATTGGCTTACTGCTGGAGTGTTGGCGTGGTTTAAATCAATTGACTGGCTGGCCAATGTCTTAACTGAGGTTTAAGTGCTACACGTAGCTGTTCATCCAAGCAAACTTTACTATATGGCTCTGATAAGAGCTCTGCGTGAACCTCCTTAGAATCTACTAAAGAAATGGTAAAGGTACAGAGTGCAGCCATCCAGTTACTGGTGCACCCAACTGGTGCACCCAACAGGAGAAAAACGTATGTTAAGTTTTCTAGTTTACATGAGCAACTCTTCTTTTCAATGTGATAGCTACTAAATAAGCAATTATTGAGGCGATTACTATATATCAATTTTTTTTTATCATTTCATTTAATACCATTCAAATGGGAAAGAAGAGGAATACCCAAAGGAAACTATTCTGATCTCAAGATCTCTAAAGTGAGTGCCATTTCATGTGCTTCTTTCAGACAAGCACATAATTTTTTGATATACACAGTCATGGATTTTTGAACAAATTGGAATCTTGTCTCAGATTTTACCACCATGTACCACAGCTTGTAGAAATATATAAAAAAACTTGCTAACTGGTCAGTCCATAATTTACCTTTTTAAGGCCTTCATAATGAACTCTTCTTGAAGACTCTAAATCATGCTGGGGTTCATCAGATGTCCTGTTAGGAAAGAAACATACACACATACACAAAATGTTGTAGTTATCGGTTGTCAGTTAGTCTTTCAAAAGTCATCATCATCATTCTTGACACCAAGTAGGGAGTACTAGGGCAGGAAATAATATTTCTCCCATCAATACAGTTCTCTCCTGGTTCTATTTTTTAAGATACGAGGGTTACTGGCCCCAAATCATACCCCCCAAACCCAGTGGACCAGAGGCTTTTCTTAGTCTGACCTCTCACCATTAACCAATCCCACATGGTTTGAGGGTACTCTTAATGATTGATTAAGCACCACAGCCCTTACTTCATTTTCCCTGTTAAAGGTGCAGCGCTTATTCAAGAGCGATGCTTATTTGAGTGTGGTGATTATTTCAACTACATGTAAAATACCGGAAGGAATATATAAAGAGAGAGTTGGTCACGATCTTATTTCTTAAGCGATATGGTTTTGATATCTCTTATACCAAGCACTGTAACAAAAACTGGGGTGTTTATTTATAAATACCCAAATTGGCACCACAACGCTTATTCAAGAGCCACACTTATTAAATTGTTTTCAGTAAAGGTGTGCCACTTATTCAAGAGCGACGCTTATTCAAGTAGTGGCGCTTAAATCTTATTAACCCTTTGAGCACAACATCCAGATTCAAATTCCTCAAACTGATTTCCATACATTTACTTGAAGAATAAGTTGAGATTTTGCCAAAAGATCAATAATAGTTCTCATAACCTTCCCTTTAGATTTTGTACTGAATTTTGTTAAACTAGAAGAAAACTGATGCTGGTCATTCTTGGGACTTAAAGGGTTATAAAGACAAGCAAACTTCACTACTATGACAATTAAGGTGACAATGCTAGACTAAAGAGTAAGAATTTAAAAGTTAACACATTATTTAATTGCAGACACAGAACATCCCCCAATGAATACATCTCGGCTCCCGTGGGAAGAAAATTCAGTATTACAATTCTGACTTAAGGTCTACAAGGACCCAGGTTCATTTTTCACTTTCTGAGTCCTGAGTGATATTCTAAGTGACTATAAGATCTGACGACAGCAATGACAACAAGAATGTCAAAAAAGCAATAGGTTTAATAACCAAACCAACAATTTGCTCCTGCATCAGACTTTTTTGTACATTCCTTNATAACCTTCCCTTTAGATTTTGTACTGAATTTTGTTAAACTAGAAGAAAACTGATGCTGGTCATTCTTGGGACTTAAAGGGTTATAAAGACAAGCAAACTTCACTACTATGACAATTAAGGTGACAATGCTAGACTAAAGAGTAAGAATTTAAAAGTTAACACATTATTTAATTGCAGACACAGAACATCCCCCAATGAATACATCTCGGCTCCCGTGGGAAGAAAATTCAGTATTACAATTCTGACTTAAGGTCTACAAGGACCCAGGTTCATTTTTCACTTTCTGAGTCCTGAGTGATATTCTAAGTGACTATAAGATCTGACGACAGCAATGACAACAAGAATGTCAAAAAAGCAATAGGTTTAATAACCAAACCAACAATTTGCTCCTGCATCAGACTTTTTTGTACATTCCTTTGGAGTTTTGTGCATGACCACAAAGTGAAAATATTTTACACAACTTCATGATTTATGGAGGATGTAAAAAGCACCAACAAAATTTTACTACTTGCCTACATTTGAAACAGTAAGCCAGTTGGAATAATCGTGATAAAGATTGAAAACCATGAAATGCACTTTTTCAACAACATTTTCCCTGCTGCCGCCGTCCACACATCTTAAGGTCCCTATTAACATAAAAGATTGGGTGCTTACCTCAAAAGATAACAGCAGAATGCAAAACAAAGCCCAACAATGAGGAAACCAATGAATAGAATTGGTAACAAGAACAAAATTGGATCTGACACATTAAAGTCCATGCCACTCATGGCTGGCTTCAGATTCTAAACCTCAGCTCTACCCTAAAATGAAATAATACCAATGATAAATGTTACTGAGTGACACTTTGCACTTCTGTTTTTGTTGTCTCTGATTCAGGTTAGTATTCAACTCGTTTGTCGGCCCACAATAGAGGCCCTGCCAGGGGGACGGGGGGGGTCCTATGTCACTCATCTGAATTTTAAAACATCTTATGTCAATGTTTGTAAATGCTTCACATTGCTGTCGGGAATTGAACAAAAATTCTTTGTCTTTGTTGGATTTTAGAAAAGAGGGGATAGCAAAGCGTTGCAAAGAAACCATTACAGTTCTGCAATTTCTCAGTTAACATTTCGCATATGGAACACCTATGTATCGCTACCGGTATTCACAATTAAGTGATCCACGTTCAACATTTTTTAAGACTAAAGTATTATGACTGACCAAGGAAAATTGATGAAAATTACTTCTTCTTGGCATTCAGACTGGTGGAAAATTGGCCAAACCACCGTTATTTTTTGCTTATTCTTGGCTTTGCTGCCACTGTCGCAATTTGGCCGAGGGAGGTTGTCCCTTGTCACGATTTCATTTTACGCTCTGTCACTACTTTTTGGGCCATGTGGCTTGTCGGAATTCACCATGGTAGGGCCTCACAATAACATATTTAGGTACAGCAGTTTGGTGCTTTATGTCTAATGGCTGTGTACACCTCCCGTTGAGAGAGTGTATTATATTTTCATTGACCTGCATCTAAAATCTGCCATCAACTAAATCTGATCAAGTTAAAACACTAAATATCCATCATTTCAGGCAAAACTTTGCAATCCTAGCCTTTACTGATCGTTAAATCTTATATTTTTATTTCTACTAGCTACTAGTTTATGGAATTAAAGGCTCAAGAAAACTTTCTGCCTAGACACAAACCCTTCATTCTTTAGAGGTGAACTGGGGTAAGGTATTCCAAGCTCAGCTGTGTATAAATTCCAGTATGCACAGATTTCACTGTTTGCTTTTGGCATGACTAGGCGGAGTTGCATGCTGTTAACAATATTCATACCAGGTAGCAGTGAGAACAATGCAAAGTTACTTTACAACACTCAACATCCTCAGAGACCCAGGGGCGGTCAGTCGGGCCAGGAGAAAAGGCGCGACGAAAGTTTTCAAGCACGGGCAGAAGAGCCCCTGGATACCGACTCTCACCGGACAATTTCCAAAAAGTCAAGCGAATGCTCGCTCCTGGACTGCCCCTGGGTCTCCGAGGATGACTCAACTTCAGCCTCAATATTGCATGTGAATTTGTAGGTTGCCATCACAACAAATCGATGTTTACGATTCATACTTGCTTGTGCATGCTACTGCAGTCGCATAAAATAAAATATTATTTGTTTTTAGCTTTAAGATGTGTCTTTTGAGGGCAAAAAATGCCTACCCACTGTCGACATATCCACCTGTTATAAATTTCAAAAGAACTTAAATGATCACATGAAATAAGTTTGACAGCTACATGCATACCATTTATCAAGAAGGCCTGAGCTTCATTTCGCAAACAAAGGGTAGAATTCGTTCCTTTTTTACTGCATTGTTAAATATATAAAAAAATCTAGCTATCTGAGGCATTACTGCTGCATTTCACTATCCCATAAATTCAGAAAATACGAACGGGACTGATTTCGATAGGAAAATGAAAGGGGCCAACCCCCAACGCAAGGAAATTTTTAATATTCAACACGCAGCATCACGCTAAGCTTTTATCTAACGAACTTCCCCAAGCCGAAGGTATGGCAATGTTCCAATTAAAGGTCTATTCCACTAGAATTTTAGCCTAAATCTATAAAAAACGTAACTTAGGTGTTTAAAGCATACTAATTGAGAGAATAAAAACAAGCAGCCTTCCTTTCCATAACTATATAGGTCTGACCATTGTTGTTGGATTGAAACGATCATTGAAAACAATTGCTATGTGCTACTTTCAATAAAACAAAATCCAGCTCAAAAACACTCAGGATCAATAAAGGAACGGACATGAAAGTGAATAACCGACCTGGTTGAGCCATTCTGATGAAATTAGCTTTCTCAGCAAACAACTTGAACTTCTCTCCGCGATTTGTTCTCTCTTTCCCTTCCCAAAGTGCTTACAGGGAAGTGACAACAAACTTAGTCGGGGCGGGGGAGGGGTAGGGACATACATCTGTGTTCGCAGAAGTTCGCACGTTCGCACGTTCACCCGGTGGACAATCATACTCAAACTACTTATGAAATGACTCCTGGGTTCAAACCTAAAAATAATACATCCATAAGGCGCGTCTGTTCGAAATACTAATTTATCAAATGTCCTACCCTTCCAAATACTTCAACTCGTGAAATCCCTAACCTATCATAAGCCTAAAAGAGCGCGCCGGGCCCATTGGGTGGTGTCTCACCTTATAGACTATCATAGGTAGTATTCCCCGAAATTAGGAAAAATATATAATTTTTTGTTCAAACTACATGCTTTTATGTGAGTATTCAGTGTAGACGATGTTTAAATACTTTGGTTTGGCCAAAATGAAAACCAATGACCTAGAACGCGGTTTAGTCAGTACACAGTGCAGGTACCGGTACGTGAATGACAGAAGGGTTTTTCTTTCCTAATTTCGGCTGACGTTTTCTTTCCTAATTCTTAGCCTGTGTACAACTCAAAATGAAGCACTCAACAGTACCTCTTTACTATTATATAAGAAATCTACTTTCATATCTTTTTGACGGCAAATATTTTACTGTGTACAGACCCCCCCCCCC